TATAAATTCATACAAATCCTGAGAAAAACTCCGAAAATATATGAATTATTAAAGAAAAACAACAAAACCACCTTCACAAAAGCCGACAGTAGACCCCTGGCGGTGGCCTGACGAACTACGTCTAGCAACGCCGGGACCAGTTCGAGGCTGGGCCCAGCCAGTTGCTTTTTTTTTTAATGGGAATTAGCCCACCCGGGCACAGATCAAACGACCCACAACGGGGCCTGGGGGGGGGGGCGAAAAAGGAACAGAAATAAATTTAAAATATAGAAGAAAAAGGTTATACTGTGTTAATGTACACCACGAGGAGGGTTTCTGTTTACTGGGGTTGGCGTCTCTTGGTGCTTTGGTAGAGTTAGTTTGTCTAACTGTCTCTGTCCGTCTGTCTCTCAGTCTCTGTCTGTCTTTGTATCTCTGTTTGTCTGTCCGTCAGTCTGTCTCTGTCTGCCAGTCTATTTTTACAATGTCTGTCACTGTCTGTCTGTGTCTGTGTTTGTCTCGTTCTGTCTCAGCCTCTCTGTCTTTCCACTATGTCGGTCTCTGGCTGTCTGTTCTGTCTCTCTGTCTGTCTGTCTGTTTTTTGTTGAAGGGAGTTGTTGAGTTAGGTTGTTTTTATTGAGAGGGTTGTCCCTGAGGTTGGGTATGGAGAATTGTAAGTATTTCTGTGCGGCTTTGTCTGGGGGGGTGGGGGTGTTGCTGTGTTTGGAGGTTGGTTGGTATTTTATTTTATTGTATTTATTTATTATTTTATTTTATTTTTTATTTTTTTATTTATTAATTTATTTATTTATTTTTATTTTGTTAATTATTTATTTATTTTTTGTTGGGGGGTGGGGGGGGGCGGTGGTCGGGTATGTTGATTTATAGGATAGGATTCCTTAGGGAGGATTTGTAGACAGACAGACAAACAGAGACAGTTAGAAAAACAGACAGACGGACGGACACAGACAGACAGACATTAAACAGACAGACACACAGAAACAGACAAACCGTCAGACAAACGGACAAACACACCGAAAGACACAGACAGAAAGACATACAGACAGACAAACAGACGAGCGGAGACAGACAGACAGTCAGAGGCAGACAGGGAGAGACAGACAATCTTGGCTACTAACTCAAGATAAAGAAGGAATCGCCGTAAATAAGAAGGTCCAGCGCTCTTCTCAGGCTCGACCGCTGTCACCCAAACTGAAACAGACAAAACATTGACTCACCACGTAACCATAACGTATCTGATTGAGTTGTTAAGCAACAGGAACACTTTGGTAAAAGAAGAAATAATAACAACTTGTAGGAATCTATCTGTCTGTCTGTTGGTCTCTGTCATGTCTGTCTGTGTCTCTGCCTGTGTGTCTCAGTCTCTGTCTGTCTTTATATCTCAATCTCTGTCTGTGTGTCTCTGTGTCCGTTTCTTTCTGTCTGTCTGTCTGTCTGTTTGTCGCAGACACAAGCAGACAACTGACAGACAGACAGACGGAGAAATAGAGGGACAGACAGAAACAGAGACGGCGACATAGACTAACATATAGACGAAAGAGACAGACAGACAGAAAAACAGAGGCAGAAAATCAGAAAGACAGACAGAGATCGATATTGTGAGACAGACTGGCAGAAACAGTCAGACACAGAGACACAGATAGATGGGGGATGGGGGGATTCCACACCCTTCCCAGTCGGTGGGTCCTGATACCTTCCGTTGCCAAGTACCGGATGGTGCCATTCTCCACCTCCCAGGATGGGTGTGGATGGGGGATGGGGGGATTCCACACCCTTCCCAGTCGGTGGGTCCTGATACCTTCCGTTGCCAACTACCGGATGGTGCCATTCTCCACCTCCCAGGATGGGTGTGGATGGGGGATTTCCACACCGCTTCCCGGTAAGGTCAGGTCTGATACCTTCCGTTGCCAACTACCGAGATGGTACCATTTCTCCACCTCCGAGGATGTGGGTGTGGATGGGGATAGAGATTCCACCAGTAGGTGGGTCCTGACCTTCGGGTTTCAACACCGGATTCATTCTCCTCAGGATGGGTATTGGATGAAGACAGAGATTCACCCTTCCAGTCGGTGGGTCCTGATACCTTCCGTTGCCAACTACCGGATGGTACCATTCTCCACCTCCCAGGATGGGTGTGGATGGGGGGATTCCACACCCTTCCCAGTCGGTGGGTCCTGATACCTTCCGTTGCCAACTACCGGATGGTGCCATTCTCCACCTCCCAGGATGGGTGTGGATGGGGGATGGGGGGATTCCACACCCTTCCCAGTCGGTGGGTCCTGATACCTTCCGTTGCCAACTACCGGATGGTGCCATTCTCCACCTCCCAGGATGGGTGTGGATGGGGGGATTCCACACCCTTCCCAGTCGGTGGGTCCTGATACCTTCCGTTGCCAACTACCGGATGGTACCATTCTCCACCTCCCAGGATGGGTGTGGATGGGGGGATTCCACACCCTTCCCAGTCGGAGGGTCCTGATACCTTCCGTTGCCAACTACCGGATGGTGCCATTCTCCACCTCCCAGGATGGGTGTGGATGGGGGATGGGGGGATTCCACACCATTCCCAGTAGGTGGATCTGATACCTTCCGTTGCCAGCTACCGGATGGTGCCATTCTCCACCTCAGGATGGGTGTGGACAAGGATGGAGTTCCCACCCTTCAGGTGGTCCTGATACCTTACCGTACACCACCCTACACCACCATACCCCATACTACACTACCCACTACACCCCCACTACACCACCATACCCCACACTACACCACCCTACACACACCCTTCCCAGTCGGTGGGTCCTGATACCTTACCGTACACCACCCTACACCACCATACCCCATACTACACGACCCACTACACCCTCACTACACCACCATACCCCACACTACACCACCCACTACACCACCCTACACACACACTTCCCAGTCGGTGGGTCCTGATACCTTCTGTCGGCGCCTGACGGATTGTACCATTCTCCACTTCCTGGGAAGGATGTGGATTCCCTCTCCTCATCCCCCACTCCCCATCATCCCTCTCACCCCACCCACCCCTTCATCCTCTCACCCTTCCCAGTCGGTGGTTCTTGGTACCTTCTGTTGTTGGCTCTCTGATGGTTCCATTCCCCACCTCCCAGGATGGGTGAGAGGATGATGGGTGTGGGTGGGTGGTTATAGTCGGGATGTCCTACACCCCCAATACACCACCCTACACCACCCTACCCAACACTACCCTATTTTATGACGTATTATTTGTGCTGTCTCAATTCTGATGTTGTTGACAAATGACCAGGAATTACAGTAATTATAAATGTTCTAATTATTATTCTCAATTATATTAATCATTTAAGTTAAAAAAAACACCAAAAGAATCGAACGACCCACCGCAACGCAACGAACCCAACGACCCACCGCAACGCAACGAACCCAACGACCCACCGCAACGCAACGAACCCAACGACCCAACGCAACGAACCCAACGACCCAACGCAACGCAACGAACCCAACGACCCAACGCAACAGACAACGGCCACCGCAACGCAACGTTAACGACCCACCGCAACGCAACAGCAGACCCACCATTGACCCACCGCAACGACCCACCGCAACGAACCCAACGACCCAACGCAACGAACCCAACGACCCAACGCAACGAACCCAACGACCCACCGCAACGAACCCAACGACCCAACGCAACGAACCCAACGACCCAACGCAACGACCCACTACACTTTTTTTTCGTTTTTTTATTTTTTTATTTTTATTTTTTTTATTTATTTATTTTTTTTTATTTTTTTTTATTTTTTATTTTTTATTTTTTTTATATATATTTTTTATTTTTTTAGCACACCACCCACTACACCCACCCCTTCATCCTCTCACCCTTCCCAGTCAGTGGTTCTTGGTACCTTCTGTTGTTGGCTGACGGATGGTACCATTCCCCACCTCCCAGGATGGGTGAGAGGATGATGGGTGGGGGTTATAGACGGGATGTCCTACCCTACCTAACCTACACCTACCCGAGAGTTTAGTTAATAAGTGATGAACTGGCTTGGCCTTGCCTCGATCTAGGACTGGAGGAGCTAGATAGAGGTACTTACTTCGTCGTGTCACAGGCAGGGGAATTACTATCGACTTTTTGGAAGGTCTATTTATGTTACATTAGCTGTTTTTCCTGTTTTTCTTTAATAATTCATATATTTACGCAGTCAACCTCCAAAAGTAGACGTTTATTAACATAGAGATATAATGGGGCACTCCGTACAACATTCAAGCTATGTGGGCGTGTATGACTTGTCTTCTTGTGTACATGACTCTCGGGTGTGTGTGTGCGTGTATGACTGTCTTGTGCATATGACTGCCATGTATGTGTGTGTATGACTGTCTTGTGCATATGACTGCCATGTATGTGTGTGTATGACTGTCTTGTGCATATGACTGCCATGTATGTGTGTGTATGACTGTCTTGTTTTGCATATGACTGCCATGTATGTCCGTGTATGACTATCTTGTTGTGTACATGACTCGTGTGTGTGTGTGCGTGTATGACTGTCTTGTGCATATGACTGCCATGTATGTGCGTGTATGACTATCTTGTTGTGTACATGACTGTCGTGTGTGTGTTTGTGTGTATGACTTTCTTGTTGTGTACATGACTGTCGTTTGTGTGCGTGTATGACTGTCTTGTGCATATGACTGCCATGTATGTGTGTGTATGACTATCTTGTGTATATGTCTGTTGGATTCTCAAGTCTTTGTCCACTAAATTCCCTCACCTAAACCTTCTCCATTACCACACCCCTCATCCCCCACCCTCCACCCTCACCCCGCCAACCCCCATCCCCCACCCTCACTCCCCCCACCCTTACCCCCAAATGGTGAATTCATCTACTGTAAGTCACTCTTTTAAATTGGGGCATTAAAAAAACAAAAAAGCGTCAAAACAACAGAGACTCCATACAGAACAGCACATGCAGAATTGTATTGTTCTTTTTAAAAGCGGTCCATGTTTGTGTACGAAAAATGCCGCCAGCCTCTACAGCGCCGTTTATATCCTCCAAATTCGCCTAACAATCATAAAAGGTAAGCCTTTAAGATAACTAATACAACTAATTTATGTGTAGAAATGTATTGAAATCAAATTGAACTAAAAAAAGTCGTAAATGGTCTATTTGAAGAGTGGTGAGAACAGCTTCCTCTGGGATGGTGAATGACGTCCTTTATCAGAATTAATATCGACCCAATTTTCGTAATGAGGGCAATTAATAACAGTCCAGCACTACCAGAATAATTATTTCCTTAGTATAATTACTTATTAGCCGAGATTTCATATTTTAATAAGTCCAAATATGCCAGGTAACTAGTGCTAGGTACTTCCCAGGCATGTTTCATTTGTGCATCAGTTTAACCACAATTTGCTCCTAATAAGATAAATTCAGTGACCTAAATTCATGTTTTATTTTTATATTCCCTTAGTGACTCGATGTATTACAAAAAAGAACTACTTTACGACTTGTTTGGGCCAACAGTTGGAGTGGTGATATTAATTAACTTTGCCATTCACACTGGTAGAATCAAATGTAGATATATTGGCTTTGTATGTCCATGATTTCAACAAAAATGAATAAGTCCTTCTAAAATAAATGGAATTGATGATATTATTATCTTTTTGGCCATCCAGCGAATTTAATGATTTTAAGTTGACCGATTTTTACCAGTTAAGTTAGGTTATGTTAGATTAGTTAAGTTGGGTTAGGTTAGGTTTGGTGACATTGAAATTATGTTTTTTCAAATGCCAAGTAGAGGTGGATGACCTAAACATTCATTTTACCAAATTGATTATGAGTAGATTAAACACATTAGTTGTGTTTTTTTACAAATTCAGACCCCGTAAAGTTCTAATGACAATCACTTCATGATAGATGTTTCACCCTATACACTAAAGCTACTTTATATAAGAGGAAAAAATTAGCACCAAATTGTATTGTTTAATACCAAAAGAAGTCATTGATGATAATATTTAATAACAATATTTGAGGTATTACGACCTGGTCGTCGGGACGGAACACCGTCGTAAGTCGAGGAGAGACCGTAATACATTTTCATCTTTAAACTCCTTGTATCTTACCTAACTCACCTTGATGCTCCACTCAATTATAACTAGATGCAATAATTGTAGAAAGTAATCACAGGTATGACTACCTTTACCGTTAATTGTTTTTATATTACAATTCTTGGATATTCAAAGATAATGAAATTATGAATATTCAATAAATGTGATATACGTACAACAGAAATATGTCAGACTTGACTAATTAACTGTGACCATAAATTAACCTAAGTGAATTTGTCCTTAATCCAACCTTTAAAATATGAAAGACAGTATACTTTATTTTATGATAGTTAAGTCAGTTTCCAGTTAGGTTAAGTTAGGTAGGTTAGGTTAACATTTTTATATAGATCATTAAAATTTTAAAGGGCTTATGATTTTTGTTCTATGAATTTCTCCAAAAAAAGGGATCAAAGTTTTGGAATCACCATAACAATATACACTACAGTACATGAGAAAAAACAATAATTTTTAGTGTGTGTTGCATATCAAACCAAAAGATCTGAGTTTCCTTTGGAATTTTTTATTTTTATTTTTTTTAACAGACAAAATTACCTCTTTCCTATATCTCTTTACTGAAGCAGAAATAATAATAATAATAATAATAATAATAATAATAATAATAATAATAATAATAATAATTTTATTGAGTGAAAGAAGAAGGGAGGCTGAGTGGAGGAAGAACGGGGAGGGAGTGGAGGAGAAAGGGGAAGGAGGGAAAGGGAAGGAAGAGGGAAAAGGAGAAAGTGGATGGGATAGAGGGTAGGGGAAAGGGGTGGGAAAGAAGGGAGGGAGAAAGGGAGGGGCAGGGAGAGGAGGGAGAAGGAGAAAGGGGATGGATAGGGGGATGGCAGAGGGAAGGGAGAAGAGGGAGAAGGAGAAAGGGGATGGATAGGGGGATGGCAGAGGGGAAGGGAGAAGAGGGAGAAGGAGAGAGGGAGGGGAGAGGAAGGGGTGGGAGAGAAGGGAGAGGGAATAAAGGGAGGGGGAGGGAGAAGGAGAAATGGAAAAGGAAAGAGAGGAGGGAGAGAGGGAAGGGAGAGGGAAAGAGGGAAGAGAGAGGGGGAGAGGGAGAGAGGGGGAAGGTAAGGTAAAGGAGAGGAAGGGTGGGGTTATGAGGAGACATTATCCAATTTTTTGGCAAAGTTAAATTAAACTGTCCACCCGATAATGAGGTATTTCGTCGAAAGTCTTTGACCTAGAGCCGTGACCTAGAGCCTTGCCTTGAACCGTGACCTTGAGCCGTGACCTAGAGTTTTGATCTAGAACTTTGACCTTGAACCGTGACAGAGTCGTGACCTGGAGCTGTGACCTAGATCCGTGACCTAGAGCCGTGACCTAGAACCTTGCCTTGAACCGTGACCTTGAACCGTGACCTAGAGCCGTGACCTAGAGCCGTGACGTAGAGTTTTGATCTAGAACTTTGACCTTGAACTGTGACAGAGTTGTGACCTTGAACTGTGACCTAGATCCGTGACCTAAACCCGTGACCTAGAGCCGTGACCTTGAACCGTGACCTAGGGCTGTGTCCTAGAGCCGTGACCAAGATCCGTGACCAAGATCCGTGACATATATCCGTGACAGAGCCGTGACCCTGAGTCGTGACAGCCATGACCTAGAGCCGTGACTTTGCATCGTGACCTATAGCCGTTATTTAAGAGCCGTGACCTTTAGCCGTGACCTAGAGCCGTGAACTAGAACCGTGACCTAGAGCCGTGACCTAGAGCCGTGAACTAGAACCGTAAACCTAGTCCCGTGACCTAGAGCCGTGAACTAGTACCGGAAACCTAGTCCCGTGACCTAGAGCCGTGACTTTGCATCGTGTCCTATAGCTGTTATTTAAGAGCCGTGACCTAGAACCGTGACAGAGCCGTGACCTTTAGCCGTGACCTAGAGCCGTGCCGTGACCTAGTCCCGTAACCTAGAACCGTGACCTTGAGTCAGGACCTACATCTGTGACCTAGAGCCGTGAACCTAGTCCCGTGAACTAGAACCGTGACCTAGAGCCGTGACCTAGAGCCGTGAACTAGAACCGTAAACCTAGCCCCGTGACCTAGAGCCGTGAACTAGAACCGGAAACCTAGTCCCGTGACCTAGAGCCGTGAAGAGCCGTGAACTAAAACCGTAAACCTAGTCCCGTGACCTAGAGCCGTGACCTAGAGCCTTTCATATATACTCACATAGCCTTTATCACTTCTTAATTCAGCAGCATTACACCCACCTACCAAGTTTTATTACATCTATCCAGTTCACTTTATTGCAACCTTCTTCAAAATTATATTAAATATCGACGAATATATAATCTAACCTATAATCTAACTTTGATGTTAGCCGTTGAAATCCGTCTTATGATAATTTAATTCCAAACAAACATACAAGGAGTGACCCCCTCCTCCCCCCCCCGCACACTGTAGATAAATAAACGCTTTAACAACATTGAAAAATAATCCACATAAATCACGTCACAACAACAATGGCTGGACGTGCATGTCAGGTTCCCATTCAGTATTTTTATGCAAAGTTCATTTAAATGTAAATATCAGTTGTGATCTGTCAGCACGTACAGTGCCGTGGTAGTGTGGTGTACTCAGGCACGGACCTCCTCTTTGTGCACACAATTTCAACTACCATTTGTTTGTGTGTTAAAGGGTCTATATAATTACAAACGAACTCATCGCTATATGTAACTAATTCTTGTGATTAATTACACACTATTATTACCATTACTATACCCAGAGATGATGATGATTATTATTATTATTATTAGTAGTAGTAGTAGTAGTCATAGTAGCGCATTTTTTATCATTATAATTATTATTAATATCGACTTCACTCCCCAATTCCACCCCAAAGCAAATTATCGTCCTAATCTTTAACACCTTCAATATTAATGTCGTATTTCTCTTTCAGCTCCAGCATTAAGTTAACGAGCACTTAGCGTTGTAATAAGCTACATTTTTGGGTGCTTGCAGGTAGTGTATAATTAAGCAAGCGACCCCCCCCCCCCGAGTCCACGTAACGTCACTGACAAAGTTGAGACCAAAATCAAGCGACCTAACACACTTATCCCTCCCACAACTAAAAAGAAAGTATAATAATAATAATAATAACCACAGCTATTATTCATCACATATACAACCAATACCTGACAAACACCGACCAAACAGCAGCTATCACTCCATCACTATGGGCATGCTTAAGTCCAGTCGCCCGTGAGACGCCCGGTACAGATCTAGGGGCTGGCAGAGAGAGACGTGGCGAACCTGGGAGGTGTTCCGTCCTCCATGGGATGAGTTAAAATGTACGAAAATGTGTCCTTAGGAAACCCAACTTTGGACAAGATGAGGGTTAGGAAAACAGATGAGGAGAGGAGGGGGGGTGAATATAAAGTGTGGAGCGGGTTATTATTAAGAAGTTACACAGCAGCGTGTCTTGTTCAAAGGGTCATATACGGGAGTCATTTATTATCGTTTGTGGAAGGACATCATTTTTTAAAGGTAATCATGCATACACAGACACACGTACGTACAAGAGAGAGAGAGAGTGTGTATTTGAGAACCAATGTGACTAATCATTATGAGCGTATACGGTTAAATGCTCTTTACCAAATTTAACTGTGTAATACCAATACAAGTCCTTGATCAGCAAATAGAAAAACAAAAACCTTCCATACAATTAACAAGTTTCTGCACTACAGTATAACTTCCTCGATACACCTGGGTGATTAATAAGGTTACGTGTTCTGTTTACCTGTGTGTGTTTCTTATACTATAGAGTATTTTGAACCAGGTTTATCACTTAATTTTGGTACTGTGATAATGTTGCCCTGGGGACATCACCGGTCCTATAATGTTGTTTTGGTACAAATGAAATGATTATGAACAAGCTGCAGCGGCTCACTGAAATAAACCCCACATACTAAATTATACAAATGGCAGTTTATATAGAATAACCAACATACAAAATAACATTCTACACAAAATTATCTATAAAATCACTTAATTTATATAACGAATATCATAAGAATTTATATAAATTACTGAACATATCAAATGGTAATTTACATAAAAAAAATTAATATTTATATAAAATTTCACACTGAATTCACCAAAAATAAAAGATGAAAAATAATAACTTACATGATAAAGAATAAAAAAAAAGACAACAGAAAACAAAAACCTAAACCACCGCCAATTTACGCAAACATTTATTATCATCACCAAATATTAACCTTAGAACAACTTATCGAGGAAAAAAAAATCATCACATACAGACTAAGTGACATTATTTTCCCTCCAAGCTCAGGTTAACCCAGTAACATTTGGTTGGTTATTAACAAATGCTGTCCATTGACGATACAAACCTCCAATTTTAGCGAGGTTGAAAAAATATATACCCTGTATATTCAAATGTTGCATGGGATCTAATTCACGAAATCTGTTTAATAATACAGTATGGAGTGTAGATTTATCGACAGGAATGGGGGTCTGGTGGGGGGAGGGGAGATGGGAAAGGGAACTGATGGAGGGGGAAGGGAGGGAAGTGTTGGCGAGGGAGATAGGGTGGCTAGCACAAGTATAATTCCCCAAACCCAGAAGAACAAACATAAGTGAAACATGGAAGGTTGTTGAAGATACCACAATGAAACCAATGTTGTAGTCACAATTCAGTCAGTGTTTTGTGATCTTGATGTAAAATATTGTCATTGGCAAGGTTCTTGTTACTATCATGAACACCTTGCTAGTTATTGCTGTTTTTGTGTTCGTGTTTTATGTTCCCTTCTAATGTTAACCCTGCCTCTCTTGGTAAAAAAAAAAAGATGAAAGTGATAACATATCTCATTTCTTGGTTGTTGATAACAAATTTGTTCTCAGTTGGTGGCGGCAGACGAGGCGGTGGCCAATAAGAAGTTTGCCGATGCACAGGCCATAAAAGACGACTGTGAAAAGGAGCTCGCCAAGGCAGTACCAGCTCTCAATGCTGCCACAGACGCCCTCAACACCCTCAAACAAGATGACATACGCGTCGTCAAGGCCATGAAGAACCCGCCCTCAGGAGTCAAGCTGGTGAGTATAACCTACCAAATGATGACATTGGTTATGAAGAGTGCTCACCTTAACCTCCACTCTGACTCTACCTAAGTCTCCACTGTTGTTTTACCTAATCTTCCACTCTGACTCTACTGTCCCCAAACCTTCACTTTGCCTTAATATCCTCTAGCTGTTGACCTTAAGTCACTTTGTGCTCCTAACACACCCTGTGATCCTCACACCCTCCTAAAGATATATGAAAAGTTTTGTCCCTGTGTTGTTTTTTGTATTTCTAATCATTAGTGAAACTTTTTGAGAAATACTACATCAGTTGACGCACTCTGCATTAGAAGGGGGTGAAGCTCCAAATTCAAAAAGCTGAGAAAAACACGTTGAAAGTTTTCAAGGTTCAAACAACCATAACTTTTTTTTTAAGCTAGAGGGTTCTTTTTTTATCGTGCAGCTTAATCCCTCTCCTAGCGAACTGTGACAACTGGAAATTAGTACAGTGAATAGTTATTAATTTATTGCGAGTTGAATGAAAATAACCCGTGATGTAGAGTTGTTTGATCTTCAAACCAACAATAATCGCATTTTTCTGCAATTTTTTTTTATTAATATTTGTGGGTTAATACTGTAAAACAAGTTAATGATAACCAAAAACAGCACTCGTTTTACCACCCCCCCCCCCCAAAAATAATAATAAAAACTCATTTGCCTATTAGTATTTATCTTTCCGTCCCTATTATTAGCCAAAGATTTATAATATTGTTAAGTTTAATAGTGTGTAATAATGAGGAAACACCACTACACTCATCCCACCCCCTACCATGAACCCCCCCCCAACGTAATTAACAGACGAATACAAAGGCTTAGAAAGTTTGCATATTCTTTGGTTAAGAGAGTATTCTGATAATAGTATTACAATCTTACTTTGTTTAGTTCCTTCGTTTTATTATCCCTGAATATCGTAGTAACTTGAAGTTACGTAAATCCTGAGGAGTGCGTTTAACTTAAATGGCCTCTTCATAATCAATCATGTACTGATCAAAGTCTTTTTCTGCCCTCTCTAAAAATCGCCACACAGATTCTTCATGAACTAAATCATTGATTTTTGATGCCGGCAACAGTTCAGTTTCATTATAAGATTGAGTTATGGGCTCACTTTCATTAGCATTCGTTGGTTCAGGCTCACTTTCATCACTATCAAGGTCAATGCATGCCTCGTCACTGTCCATTTCTACCTCCTCACAGTCTGTATGTTCTTGTTGTGATACATTAGTGTCACTCTGTTACCATTAGACTCACTTTCATCATTTTCATCTTCACTTTCATCATCATTACTGCTGTCAGTGCATGTCACGTAACTCTGTACCGGAACATAGTCTGCAAGAAGGTCTTGTGATGCATAGCAGTCACTTTTTGTATGATGAGTACGGTATACCAAAATCACTATCACTATCACCAAGCATTCCTAGGATGTCCACGTGAGCACTGTCATCACTAAACACACGTTCAGGAATAATGTGCTCCTGAACCTATACCAGAAGGCCTGGCCTCACTCAACTCTTGCTCCAATATCGGGCAGATATTGCACAGCATTTTACACACCCGTGGATGAATAACATCATTGTTACGCCGAAAAGTTATCAAAAATAGCCATAGAAAGTATACTGAACCTCCTTATGCTATACAATGCACCAAAACTAACAAGGAGGCAGCATCTGGGCGCGCGGATTGGCCGAGGAGCTGTGACATAGCAAGGGGAAATCCATTGTGATTGGCTACCTCAGGGGTATGGTCCGAGGGAGGCGCGCTTTCATTGGCTCGCGCTCCTCTCGCTCTGAACGGGAAGTTGCCACCTTCTTTGACTGAGCGCACAGCCAGATACGTAGCTCCAGGCCTGAGGCAAAATCACCCCTAATTTTGAAGGACTTTCTACCATATTTCTATTCTAGCTAGAGCGTTACATCCAACGGGTGAAAATAGTGATATCCATCAAAAAACGCATTTTGGCCAGAGTGTCACTTCACCCCCCCCTCTAATGCTGAGCGCCTCAATTCTAGTGGGTTATGAGAAACATAACATCAATTCTAGTGTGTGATGAGAAACATATTTCTAGTGGGTGATAAGAAACACTACTTCAATTCTAGTGGGTGATGAGAAACATAGTTCTAGTGGGTGATGAGAAACACTACATTAGTTCTAGTGGGTGATGAGAAATACCATCAACAAGGCAGAGTGAAGCCATGTGTCATCTTCATAGACTTCTGTGTAATTTTTATCCTAACCTAACCTAACATAACTTTAACCAAACCTAGCATAACGTAACTTAAGATAGCATAGTCTAACTTAAGATGACCTGACCTAACACAACTTAACCCAGCTCAGTAATGCAGTGTTTCTCATCATCCAACTCATGTTTTTCATCACCCAGGTCAGTAAAGTTTCTCATCACCCAGTTCTCTAATGCAATGTTTGTGTTCATGTTTTACTAGAGCTGTAAAAATACCCAAAATAACAATGCTGCACTATACAGTTCAATACTATGCTTTGTCAGGTAATGGAAGCTGTGTGTGTAATGCTGGACCTCAAGCCAGAGAGGAAGCCAGACCCTAATGGCTCAGGAAAAATGATTGAGGACTATTGGGCACCATCTCAGAAGCTGTTGGGGGATATGAAGTTCCTCCAGAACCTGCTGCACTATGACAAAGAAAACATTCCCACAAAGATTATCACTCACGTCCGCAACGAGTAAGTTCAAACATTATTTCCGTGATATGGTATTCATTAGGTAATTCATCTTTGCCATTAAGTATGACCAAGACAGAGGCTATCAGAGTGGTGTCGAGACAGACAGACCGATATGAATAAACTCATACTATTGAACAAATAAAATGCTGTAAAAAATTATCAACATTACTACTCTCTCAGTACTGTACTAACATGTAGCTACCTGATGCTTGCACTCAAGTGTGTGCATGGTTATTCAGGACGGATTACATCTTGGAATATTTTCTTGCTATACCAGTATATTTTCCTTCACCCCATGAAAATGTAAAATACCTGTTGAAAATCTTGGTTGCTGGAACAGTGCTGTTGAATATGGATGCCTTGAGAATGACACACACAGTAATAACTGTGTAAGTCACACTACCTACTGTCACATTTAGAAATGAGTGTTCTTCCACTTTAACCCTGAAACCTATTATAAACTCACAAAAAGTAAAAGAAATAAATGTTGAGACATTTTAAAATGTACTTATCCATTAATTTACTTATTCATGCATATGTATCTTATGCTCAGGTAAATACATACTATTGTTTCACAAGAAATCACAAAAAATAAAATCCCTCTTTTATCTTTAAAGAAGACTTGAGTGACACATAAAACTGTGTGAGTACTGAAGTGGATGACTTAGGGACTTTCTACTTCCTGCCAGGTTCTACTCTCACCCGGCTTTTGACCCAAAGAAGATACGTATGGTATCAATGGCTTGTGAGGGCCTCTGCCGATGGGTGAGGGCCATGGTTGTCTATGATCAAGTCATAAAGATTGTCGCCCCCAAGAAACAAGCTTTGGAGGCTGCCAACCATGAAGTGGCCCTCCAGAATGAAAAGCTAGAGGAAAAGAGGAAGGAACTCAGAGAGGTAATGTGTGAACCGAGAAAGATAATGTGTGAAATAAAAGACATTGCATGTAGAACCATTTCAACATATAGAATTACTGTATGGTAGACTTAGTCATCATTATATTATGAAGACTACTATTCCTTCTACAGTATATGTTCATCTACCTGTAATATGTGTATGAGTCTGCTCAGGTGTTGTGAAACAAAAGTTTTTTAGTTAACCCTTTACTTGTCATATTCCTAGATCCATGTACGTGAGTGACCATCTCTGAGCAGTCCATTACGTAGATCAATGAATTTGACTTTTTAAATTTCCCACAGCATCTGAAATGGTCCAGAAGGATTAATATATTTAAAATATGGCACATGGTAACCTCTCAAGACACATTAGCCTGTATCAGCAACCTCTGTCCCTCCAAAATGCTTTGTTTACTAACCCTACCACCACTACACCCATACACATCCATCCAGTCCCTCCCCAACATTTCCAAAGTTTGCTGCCCACATCACAGGCTAACAAATATGCCCAGAGACTTTCTCACGTATGCAAGAACACAGTGTTACTTGAAAAAGTGCACACAGATGCTAGGTATTGCAGCAGTGAGTGTGATCTGGTAGAATGTTCCAAGAGTTCACAACTCTCACTCCGAAAAAGTTTGCCCTCACAGTTTTCTGGACTTGCGGCTTCTTCAGTCTTGAGCTGTGACCCCTTGTTAGGCGAGCGTCTGCCAGCTCCAAGTAAGAACACTCGACTGAGAAGTACCCCTTGAGATGCTTATACTACACCTCAATTAGGTCACCCCTTACCCGTCTGTAGTACAGGTTGTACCTCTCTTGTCCGGCATTCTGTGGTCCAGAAACTCCCGTGGTCCGGAACGATTTTAGTTTGTCCAATAGGTAGATATGCAGCTTTCTTTTCTTTTTTTTCTTTTTTTTTTTATCTGAATTATTATTATTACAGGAGTATTAAATTTTTGCCCCTCAGGCCCCAATGTGGGTCAGTGACTTATGCATAGGTGGGCTAATCTCCTTAAAAAAAAAAACCAAAGCCACGGGAAATTAAGGTTTGTTTACATCTGGCTGCTCTCTCTCTGCTTGTCTATACAGAGGACAACATTTAACCCTTCAATATATATGAGCAGTAAATAAATGTTGCTTTCATATTCTTATGTAGAGTAATGAGATATGTTTTCACATGTGCGCACTTACATACGCGCAGTCTCACTTTTTTTTTTACCATTAATGGTTAGCTACTTACAGTTTTACCCCGCTTAACGCGCTTTCACTTAACGCGTTTTATCATATACGCGGTGCCTTGCCAAAGCTGAACTTTCACTTAACGCGGGTTTTTCCACAGCTACGCGGTGAGTGTCCGGCTCGGATGCTATTTTTAGATTTTGACCACGCGCCACGCGCCACCCACCCGCCCTCCTGCCTGCCTGCCTCTCCCTCCTCCTCCCTCCGCTTGGGTAAGCGGCGCGGTAAGGTTGCGCAGTGTGTGTCTTTGTTGCGTTATCACTGACGTCATATGACGTCTCGGACTGTGATTGGCCATGCAGCCCTACCCCCCTCTGCTGCTAGCTGTAATTGGCTTAAAGTATTATGACGTGACTACCCGGGGGAGGGAGGGAGGGAGGAGAGACGACGCTTGACCTAGCCGCGGCAGTTTCATCCCTCAAGGCCACGCCGTGTTAACGCGCATCCATTGTTCCGTAAAATGGCTTCCGCCGGACCACCACCCCCAGAGAGAAACCTTTCCTTACCTGGACCCAGCGGCACTAAACCAAAGAAGACACGACGTTCATTAAGCTACGAGCTGAAGTACCAAATTGTTCAAGATTTGGAGAAAGGAAGACGCCAAGTTGATCTCGCGCGCCAGCATGGCGTCAACGAATCTACGATTCGTACAATAAAGAAGGATGCAGCCAAGATAAAGGAGCACATGAAGATCACAAAGTCTGCAGGTGCTTCATCTATCAGGTATTGCCAGAACAGGGTGCTGGCAAAAGTGGAAACTTTGCTGGTGAGTTATTTGGTGCGTCAGGCGCGACGCAACATGGCGGTGGACACGCGCTCAGTGCAGGAGTACGCACGTGAGCTATACGCAGCAGTGACACGTAAACTGGGAATTGCAGAGCCCAAACCCTTCAATGCTTCCCATGGTTGGCTGCATAGGTTTAAGAGGAGGAACAAGGTCACCAACATCAGCATTGTTGGTGAGGAAGCGAGTGCTGACCGTGCGGCGGCTAGAGATTTTCCTCCGTTTTTACGTGAGATTATGGAGGAAGGACAGTACAGTGACGACCAGGTGTTTAACATGGACGAATCTGGTCTTTTCTGGAAAAAGTTACCTTCCAAGACCTTCGTTGTCCAGTCTGCCAGCAAGGTAAGGGGCCGGAAGATGCAGAAGGAACGCATCACCGTCCTGTTTACCACCAATGCCTCCGGTACCTGTAAACCAAAGTTATCGGTGATTCACACAGTCCGCAAGCTGCACGCCTACAAGAATATGGACATGAACAAGCTTAATGTCCACTGGCTAACCGCACGTAAGGCGTGGATGTCCTCTTCTCTGTCCCTCTTCTGGTTTGACGACTGTTTTGTTCCCGACGTGAAGAAATTATGCGACCAACAGAATGTTCCATTCAACATTTTGTTGCTCCTTGACAACGCACCTGGACACTCGCCCCTACTTTTGGATCGTCACCCCAACGTAAAAGTGGTCTTCCTTCCTCCCAACACTACGTCATTAATCCAGCCCATGGACCAGGAGTTGATCTGCAATGTGAAAGCTGCGTACTCTGCAAAGAAGTTCAAGCTCCTGAACGACTCTACCAACACCAAGGATGAGTTGCGTAAGCTGGGTGACACCGACAGCAAGAGTAAAAGCGACGAGGACAAGGAACAAGAGGTGGCGACTCAAGAAGTTCTCGTCAAACAATTTTGGAAGAAGTTTAACGTCAAACAAGCTGTAGACTTCTTGGTGGAGGCATGGGATCTGCTGTCTATTGCTACGATTCGTCACGCATGGAGACATGTGTTGCATGGCATACCAGGTGAGAGGAGGAGTGAACCTGTGACTGGTCAGGTTCAGACTGTTGCAGTAGCAGTGGACCTTGCCAGAGAAGCTGCGCTCAGTATTACAGCTGAAGGCTTCTCCGAGACCACCAACGAAGACATCATGGAGGTGATCAGAGATCCTGAAGTGACTGCCGACGAGATGTTGGAAGAAGAACCCGCCAGTGAAGAGGAGGAAGAAGGTGCGTCATTCTCCGAAGAACCTAGTTTAAGTCATAGTGATATTAAGTGTCTCATAGAGTTAACAGAAAAAATTATGTCCATCGTTTCCCGCGACACTGACGATGAACGCCATGACGTCTTCCATACCCGACTGGTGCAGGCTATGGAGCCGTACATCACGGTGTATCATGACAACATCAAAGCCAGCCGTCAGCAAAGCATAACCGAGTTCTTCGCCCGCAACCCACCACAGCCAGCCCAAGCCAGTGATAGTGAAGTTGATTTTGAGGGATTTGTCAGGGAAGCCATAACAACTGTAAGTGACAGTGATATTGATTCACCTAGTAATGGTGATTCACCTAGTAATGGTGATTCACCTGAGGGGCAATAATCTGCCCTCTGCCTCGGAACCAGCCTCCATCCCCGTATGCCGACCCATCTCTTCTACTACCGTGAGTGTTCCTCAAAAATTTTCGTTTTTTAACCTATTCTTTATTTTTCCTATGTTAACCTTTATCTTTCCTAACCTAACCTCTTCTATATTACTTGTTTTTCATGCCACCATAAAGTTAAGATAGAATTTTTACTACAACATAGTTATTTGTCGTCAAAAAGTGGAGTTTGGGGGTCGGGCTGGGTTCTATTGGAATTAATCCCATATGTTCTGTTATTCACTTAACGCGGTTTTCACTTAACGCGGGACCCTCTGGGTTCAATTGACCGCGTTAAGTGGGGTACAACTGTATATTGTTCCATTTATTAACATTAAATAACATTACAGGTACTTCAAACAACCATATTAATTTTTTTACATTCATTTTACTACAGCTAAACTCAGGGTCTTATTTTCTTCAGTTTTATATGTAGAACCAATCAGTCACTGGTTTTGAAAGCTTTAACATAAACAATGCCGGCAGCCGTCTCGTCTCCTCTAATATTCCACGTATTATTAACAAATTGAATTGTTAATTTTGCACACACAAACATTAATTCAATAAAAGCAAATTCAGAAACATTAATTAAAATATATATGAACAGTAAATAAGTGTTGCTTTCATATTCTTATGTAAAGTAATGACGATATGTTTTCACGTGTGCGCATGCGCACTTACATACGCGATCTCTCTTTTTTCTTTACCATTATCGTTAGCTACTTCTATTGTTCCATTTATTAACATTAAATAACATTACTTAAAACAACCATATTAATCTTACTACAGGTACAACCAAAGTCTTATTTTCTTCAGTTTTATATGTAGAACCAGTCAGTCACTGGTTTTGTAATCAACGAAAACAATGCTGTGTCATTTCCTCATGTGTTTTAATATTCTACATATTATTAATGAATTGTATTGCTCATTTTGCACACGTAACATTAATTCAATAAAAGACATTCAGTAATGAACAATAATGAATCTTTTGTACATAAGAGGAATGACGCTGTTTACACGATTATGCACGTCGTCTGCACGTTGGCGGGCCGTTCAAACCCGTCGAAATTCAAGTTTCCGCCGTCAAAATTTTTATTTATTCATTTTTTTGTGTGTTCCAATAAAATACGTTAAGAATTAAAAACTCGCGAAATTTGAGAAGCTACTATACGACATTTAACCCTTCAATATGTCTTCAAAGAGACCATGATGCAGAGAAAGTGGTGCTAGTGCTTCCAGGCATAAGCACAAGTCACTATGCAGGAAAAGGGTGAATTTCCATGGTCCGGCACCAGTCAGGTCCCGAGGTTGCCGGACTAGAGAGGTATAACCTGTATAAGCTAGGCAAGTTCAGGCGCTCCATTCTCTCATGGTAGTTGAGGACAATCAAAATTCGGTTTAGCTCATGTTGCTGTGAAAGTGGGAAAAGCTGGAGATGAGGTGGCCTGTG